TCACCATTCCGTCGAAACGGCCAGGGGCCTCGGTCGAAGCCTTGACGACCCATGGAGATGTTCCAAGGCACTCTCGACAAGTTGTAGTTTAGGGCTTAGGGGCACTTTGCGAGCAGCTCAAGTCCCCTACGGCCCTATGAAGGGTACCCAGGGTACCCAGGGTACCCACATCTCACAATCTGATGCGAGACGGCTGGGAGCGTCGGGAAGCTATCCGCAAAGCTGATCCGCAAAGCTGATCCTCAAAGATATATAGGATTCTATAGCAGATCTCCCCAAACCCCAAACCTTCAAGCCCAAACCCCAACCATAAACCCTAAACCTTCAACCCTAAACCGTAACCTGAAACCCCTAACCCCTCGCATGGGGCTTGAAGCTTAAGGCTTAAGGTTTGTGGTTTAGGCTTTAGGGTTGTTTTGGCTTTCCGGCTTCCTTCAAAAACGCACATGCTCATACAACAGGGTCAAACAGCGTCAGACGCGGACACTCTTCGCAGCGCCAAGGCTCGCCCGCAGCTTCGTTGAAGCCTCGCTTTTTACGGCGGGCGCGTGCTCCGACTCCCACAAGATCAGACTGTGCAGCAAAGACCCAGAGACTCCAATATCCCTTAATTAATTAAGGAATATTCCTTAAATTATAGTAAGATCCTTAGGTATATTCCTTAATTAATGGATATTGGAGCCTCTGGGGACCAAGCTTCGCCAAGTTCAGTTGTTACGTACATTGATACGGGATTAAAGAAGCACGAGTTCGCCGACCTGCTGCAATATTGCAAGACCATTCTATGGATGAAAGAGTCTTGGAGTAAATTGTAGAACTAAGAGATCAAGATACCACCCCTCCCTGAGAACCTAGTATGTTCTAGTACATTACTGTATATCTTAGTCCGTTGTAGTACATTATAGTGAGGACCGAAACATCTCTCCCCCCTCCCCCGAATCCTTCGGAGCGCAGCCAGGCCACTCAACAGCTTCCCGTCCAGGCCGAGATCGAAAATTGCCACCTAAGTTGTCCTCTAAGCCCTTTGAAAAATTATTTACTATTATGGTTCTCTTCAAAATAGTAAGGGAAATTAAAAACCCTAAACCCTAAACCCTAACCCTAAACCCTAAACCCTAAACCCTAAACCCTAAACCCTAAACCCTTAAAAAAGATCCCAAAAGGCAACCCAGCCACTCTCGCCAGCTGCAAGAGCTGGGCCAGATCCTCGGAGCTCCGCATTGCTCAGACTGCCTGGCTGACCCTCAAGAGTCTTGGGTTACACGGTTTAGGGTTTAGGGTTTAGGGTTTAGGGTTTAGGGTTTAGGGTTTAGGGTTTAGGGTTTAGGTTAAGAGAGCCCAAACCCTAAAACCTAAACCTTGAAGAGGCTTGGGTTAAGAGAGCCCAAACCCTAAACCCTGAAACCCTAAACCCTGAAGAGGCTTGGGCTTGGAAAGGGTGGTTTTGGGGCGTTGGGTGCGGAAGAAAAAAAGGGCGCACATAAAGACCGAGGAAGCTTCGGAGAGCCCCCTAAACCCTCCTAACACGTACGCCCAAACCTCGCCAAACCCCAAATGCCTGGGTTGGTGAAATGTTCGGTCGAATGTGGTGTTTGATGACTTGAACACTGTACGCTTCAAACTTCATTGCTGCGAAGCCTGCTTGACAGGCTTGTCGCGCTTGGCAGAAAGACGTGCTGTAGTAACATCTCAGTCCCAGAAGCAGTGGAGCCCTATTGCGAGCATCCCTCCACGTGACGTTGATCATGAAGTGGAAAAGCAAGAAGCATGTAAAGTGCTGATAGTATGAGGTTCGTCTTGGCTGCACATGTCCGTTGGCAATTCCCACTAATACCTCAAGTCCTGACCCTTGGGGCCTAACCCCGGAAAAGTCAACTGCAGAAGCCCTAGGCTGGCGAATTGCTAATACTATTTTGTGGGCTCCTTATTATATTTATGCTATAAAGGACCCCGAAACCCTTAATTACCCTAAACCCTAAACCCTAAACCCTAAACCCTAAACCCTATTATTAGGCTGGCGCCTGGCCCATCACGGGACTGTGGCCTCGCTTCCGGGTTTCTGGCGCTCCGGGCTTCGAAACCCAGCCAGGCCTCTGGTCTAAGGCTTCGGGTAGGGTCGAAATTACTTCCTTTTTGAGGTTCAGGGTTCAGGGTTTAGGGTTTAATGCTTAGGGTTTACGGTTTAGGGTTTAGGGTTTAGGGTTTTAGGCTTCGGGTAGGGTCGAAACTGCTTCCCTTTTTGGGACATGCAGCAGTGCAGTAAATCCTCGAGGCCCACCCAAAGCCAGGCCTTGAGGTTCAAGTCCCTCTGAAGCCTACTTGGAGGTTCATGGGTAGTTATAAGTGGGGTTATAATTATAGGGTAACGATAGTTATAGCCCATATTAAGGGGCTTATACCCCTACTTATAACTACCCATGAACCTCCAAGTAAGCCCGAGTCCCCGGGTTCAGGATCCTACAATGTGAAATCCTGTCGCGCCGTTCTCAGCCTCATCCAGCTGCTACTAGGACTTACGAGACCTATAAGGCATAACAAGAGCAACAAGCAATCCGCAAGCTACGGCCTAAGGCACGCAGCTAGAGTATAAACTGTTCAAAAAGAACCTTCAACCTACAGCCCTGGTCCTCGTGCAGGGCCGGGTGCCAAGGGGTCTTGCACGGCTGCTTTTGCACATGCACAAGACTTCCCATTTCCCCGGAGCGCATGCTACAAACCTCTTCAACGAACTTTCAACTTTGACATGACGAAGATGCTGGACATGCAAACCTCAGTGAACATGGACGACGACTACTGCAGCAAAGCAGTACCAGTAGGGAGTCGTGAGGCTGCAGGCAGGAGTCCGGAGTAGGAAGTAGGAAAGGGAGGGAAAAGCAGGGAAGTAAGGAGTAGGAGTGGGAGTAGAAGATAGGAGCAGCAGCAGCCCCGGACGGAGTAGCAGCAGCAGCAGTAGTAGTAGTACGTAGCACTAGTCGGTGTGATACGCAGCGCCTCGAGACACAAACTGACACGCAGAAGTCTCAAAAGTGCTGCACCCCGAGGCCGCCACTCTGTTCGGGGGCCACGGGATCACCCAGGGGCCCGAAAGGGAAACACTACACAGCTGCGGGGCGGATACGAGCTTCGCGGCTTTTGCCACAGGCTGGGAGGGTTTCGGGTTTCGGACTTTGTCAGCTGCTTCCTGGATTGCGCTGCTTTCTTCGGTGCCAGTTTTGCGTGCGCCGTCTTGTAACTTAGGCTTCTGGCTTGCCTATGCTCCAGAGCTTCAGGGTTCCAGCATAACCCCGCTGAATCGAAGCATCGAGGGGTCGAGGATGAAGACAGCTTGGGGGCTCATGTGATCGCTTGACAGCTGGAGAGACGACTAGGTTGGTTTGCCAAGCCGCAGCTGAACAAGGAGCCTGCAGTTCCTCAAGTCCTGCGCGCCAGGTACATGCCATAAACCCTGAACCACGGCCCAAAATCTGCACCCCCAAAAACCTCTCGAGCAATCACAACCCCTGCGATGGGCACCTGCACGGGCGTGGGCGTCTTGAAACCCTGGCGGGAGAGGCCTGGCGCCCGCCGGTGAGAAGAGATGGAAGCAGGGATGCATTGAGGGGCGATTTCGGTGCTGCTTGTGGAAGAGAACGCCAGAGGTGGCTTGGAGGGTAAAGCATCAAGGCATAACAGGATAACTGAAGAGGCATCAGGCCAACTGCAAAGGCCGTGAGGCAACTTTGGGGAAGATTGTCAGGGCTTGGGGTGTAGCGATGCAGCAGGGCGTTGTGAGTGTCGGACGAGGCTCGGACAAACGCAAACTGTCCGAGCCCTTTTGGGCTTGCCTCGAAATCCAAAGCCGTCGAACTCCACAGCTCTTCATCTGCAAAGCCTATGGGCCGCAGATGGAAAGCCCGAAACCTTGTAAGCAGCCACCCTCGGCCTACGAGGATCAGCGGATGCAGCTCGAACTGGCAGGCGCGCGCGCGCGCACGGGAGGAGTGAAGGGGCCAGCTGATAGGCTTGAAGGCACTGTGGTTCCAAGGTTCGGGTCACAGTTCCGGCCATTGTCGCTTCAAGCCAACATGAGTATTGTCAATCGTCATCGTGCTGGCAGTCAAAATTTGCAAATCGTCATCGTAGTCAGTAGCGGCGACGAGATAATAAACATGAAACCCTAAAAACCCTATAAACTCATGCTATTACTGTATCCATCTTGTCTGGTTGTAGGACATCCTAATCCGCAAAGGGGCGGTCCTTCTCATGAATCTCGAGAAGCACTCCGGCAGCAAAAACTGTTAATTAGATACCATAAAGGGTCCTATAAGGGTTCTATAAAAGTTCTATACAGAATCTATAAGGCTACTATAAGGGGTACCAAAAAGGCTCTATAAGGGTTCCATAAAGGGTTCTACAAGGGATTAATGGGATGATGGCGGATCATGGCATTTTGGGTGCTGGTGCTTGTGTTTCGAGTCTTGGGCAGCACGGCTTTGGAGCCGGTGTCACGACTTAAACCCTAAACCCTAAACCCTCAAACCCTAAACCCTAAACCCTAAAACCCTAAAGCCTCAAACCCCTGAACCCCCGCCTCTGCCCAAGCGGAGAGCTCCGCAGCTGCAAGATCCTTCCAAGGCATCTCACGGTCGTACTATCTGAACATACCTTGAACGACCGAAACCTACCTTTTGCGTAGGGTCCCTAAAGATTCTCCATATTATGGTTTAGAAATAAATAAATAAATAAATAAGAACCTACAAAAAAGTAGGTTGTGGTAGCTTAAGGTATGGCCGTATGATTATGCGATTGAAGTGTGGCTGTGCTGGATCCTTGCCCTAATCCGCTGTAGCCTAACCACCAATACATGCAGAGCAACTACGCAGAACCGGCTCTGCGGCGGATGAGGGAGGAGGAGGCGGGATTCACGGTCAGCACACATCAACGAACAAAGATGGAGCTCTCACAGCAAAATTATGGGCAGCTTGCTTTTCAAGCAAAACCCTGGACTCGAACCAATCATCCTCCTCTTGTGACTGCGTCTTGCTGCGCAGCTCCGCCAGCTCCTCATTGCTTTCTTGGAACGCCGAGGCTTAGGGAGTTTCGGCTGCAGGGACACCTCTGTGTGCATGCTGCTTCAGCCTTCCAGGGGAGGGGGCCCCCCCCCCCCCCNNNNTACTCTCCTAATTTTGGCTGCATGGCTTCTAAGTGAGGGTTATAAGTCCCCGACTAGGGGTTATAACTATAGTTACCCTTCTTACGACCCATACATACTGATAACCACCCATGAACCTCCAAGTTTCGCCCAGCAATCAACCCGAGCTCGGCCTTGCGCAGCTTCTCATTCTCGGCCGTGAGGTCCTGTGATGGCGTCGACTCAGAAGTCCGGTTTAGGGTTTAGGGGTTA